ATTTCCCACTCATAAAAGACCATTTATGATTTACTGGACCAACTTGATTATAAAACAGATTACAAAATCACAAGTTTTTGTAAAACTTACCATGCTAATGGGTAAGGGCCAGAAATGTGTTTAAGCAGAAAGCTGGAGAGATCATCTTTCCATTAAAGAGATAACCTTCTAAAATCTTGGATAAGAATTATTTGCAGAGGAAAAAATAGCAAAGCATTGTTTTTCCTTATACTGAAGCTGGCATTTTCTAAAATATTAAAAATGGAATTTGAATCATAGCAATGACCAGAAGTGTGTGAGTACAATAGTTTTGCAAAATCGTGTATTTCACGAAGTTTACAGATGTCTGGTAAGAAGTTAATTGATTCCTTTTGACTGCTATTTTGGAGGACTTAAGGATAGTAACAAATAAAAAGAGAATTTAAGATGTTAGATTTCTCGGGGCTGGAGAGATAGCACAGCGGGTAGGGCATTTGCCTTGCACGCAGCCAACCCGGGTTCGATTCCCAGCATCCCATATGGTCCCTTGAGCACCGCCAGGAGTAACTCCTGAGTGCAGAGCCAGGAGTAACCCCTGTACATCGCCAGGTGTGACCCAAAAAGAAAAAAAAGATGTTAGACTACTCAAAGGTGAATATGCTGAGAATTTTCCCCTTCACTAGTGTTAGTTTTGTTCTCTGGCCCACCTGACATGGATATATATTCTACCACAAAGAAAGAGAAAATAGAAACTTCCCTTTTCCAAGATATTTAATTTGCCTGTATTTTGAGGCAGCACAAGCTGCCTCCAACAGGCACAAGGAACCGCTTGGGAAATGGTGGTAGCAAATTTAAAAAATAAAACGACAAAAAAAAAAAAGACGTATTCTAAAATAAAAATTAAACTGAAACCAACAAAATAAACCAAAAAAAAAAAAAACTTTTAGACTACACTGGCATTTTTGTGGAACTCGTTCCTTGATATTAATAGTATAAATTAATCCTTCTGGACAATCTGCATTTCAGACTTAGCCTGTAAACAATAATTCATTCAGCCCCGGCACACAATCCTCTGTGCCCCTGGAATGCTCGTTGCCTGCAGGTTTTAAAGTTGGTCGTGTGCTGTTAGGCGGCAGAGACCTTGGAAAAGGTCAAGAGTCGTGTCCACCAAAGGAAAATTGTGTCAATTTGGATTTCAGCCTTTCAAAGCCGCTCTCATGTTTATGTTTATCTACTTGCCTGAGCACCGAGAACACTTGGTCTCCTGAACCTTTTGCGTGATTATCACCATCTCTGGCACGATGCCAGGCTTCCTGGGCACGCGGCGGGCATTTTATTGAAAAAAAATGCTGAGTGCTACACAGTGAGCAGGATGGTGCCACCTCTGTGCCATGCATGCCCAAGGGACATGATCCCCCAGACCACACGGAACAAATCACGCAAGCAGCCCATGACACATACATAGCACAGAGGTTTCTGAGGCTTCTGGCTACTGACCCAGAGCTCGTGGGCTTCCCAAATTAAAGTATGGAAGGGAGGCAGCGTTGAAATAACTTGAAGTTCTAATTGAATCAGAAATAGCGTTATTTTCTAGGAAACAATTTCTCTTTTGAATGCCAGTATCTGCGTGCTACCTCTGCTTCCCAGAAATAATTATCTGTTTGCTCATTTGCTGAAATATAGTTATGTGTGGGTAATTATAGCTATCACTTACTTTAATTGCAATCCTTTTGCTGATGTGAGCACAGTCTTAGATCTTTTTTTGTATACTTAATTATTCCCTGGACTTGTGGTTATTTATCATTAGATTAGAGAAGAGTTTTTAGTGTTAGAATGCTTTAGTTATAACCAACAAAATATTGTGAATATAAAGATGCTTCTTTCGTAGGGAACCACAGATATAAAAAATTCATAAGAAGGCCCATTTTATGTTGGGTTTGATTTTCTCTCATGCTTGAATATACATTTTATGGCTGAACATCAGAAAAAGAGCAATTAGAGAAAACAACCATTGCATTTGGTTTTATATTTATCATTCTGTGGAGACTGCTTCTCTTTGAAATGTGCACTGTGTTCACCCCGGGTGTGTGGTAAGGGCCATGATGGGGGCCTTTCCGTGGAGGTCCACCGGCTGAGACGTTTCAGAGCATGAAGTTCTACTGCTTACCCGGAGAGATGGAGACGCTGAAGCCCCGGCCACCCCATTCGGCCCAGCCAGTGTGGCCGTCTAAGCCAGACCCAGACCAGCAGCAGCAGAACCTGGTGTTGGGTCCGTGAAACGTTGTTAGTGGGGCTGGAGCGATAGCACAGCAGGGAGGGCGCTTGCCTTGCACGCAGCCAACCTGGGTTTGATTCCCAGCATCCCCTTGGGCCCCCAGCACCTCCAGGAGTAATTCCTGAGTGCAGAGCCAGGAGGAACCCCTGAGCATCACCGGGTGTGGCGAAAAAAAGAAAGAAAGAAAGAAAGAAAGAAAGAAAGAAAGAAAGAAAGAAAGAAAGAAGAAAGAGAGAGAGAGAGAAAGAAAGAAAGAAAGAAAGAAAGAAAGAAAGAAAGAAAGAAAGAAAGAGAAAAGAAAAGTAGTTAAACTATCCTTCCAATGGGTCTGTGTGTGCTGAAACATCGGGTCTCCAGCCCGAGAGCTGCCAACAGACCTTAGCTCGGCCGTGAGGACTCGTGTGTGGTTGTGTGTTCGTTGTTGGGGACACCAGCTCTGCCAAGGCGCCTCAGGCCCCCAGGGGGCTCCTAGAAGGGTCAGAAGTCAGTGAAGATCCACCCCCCACCCACCCCCGGACACCGACCTGGGTTTCCTCGCTGCCATCAGAGCCCGCAGTCCTGAGGCTTGGCCCTGGCGACTGGAGCCCGTTCTTGCCACGGCCACGTGCTCCTCCATCTGAGGCCACAGCGGTCTCTGCATTGGCTTGTTTTCTCCTAAAATGGGGGCGCTGAAGGCCCTCCCTGCATTCTGGTTCGGGGCGGGGGTCCGCACTCAGCCTCCTCAGAACCGCCCTCTTTCTCCCTGAGCATTTTGGCTTTGGGCTGAGTCTGTGAATGGGAACCGTCAGTTTCCGGCGTGCATCTGCGAGCCCAGCAAGCCCCTAGTCATGGTACCCAGCCTCAACCGCACCACCGCCCCGCACCTGCCCTCAGCCCCCGCCACCCTCCCTGGAACTGTGGGTTGGTCTCCAGCAGAGTTGACTTCTGTCCAAGCCCACTGCTGGTTGGCGTCTGACTTTCCCCCCCATGCGAACCCCTCCCACCCCACCTCTGCCTCGCAGATCAGACGGCTCCTTGGCCACCCTGAGTGGCATCCTATTGCCACCTACCCTCATCCTTACGCTTGCCTCTGGCGGCTTCTGAGGGCCTTTCTGCTCTCAGTTGCTGCCAGGGTGAGCGCGGTGGGTGTGCACCCTGGACTCAGTGTGGTTCTCCCCTCGGCTCCTGTCCTGGTCTGGGACCCATCTTTATTTCTCGAGTACTCCTTTCCATGGCCGCGGCTGTGATCTTGGCACAGAAAGCCCCATAGTTCCCATCTGGAGTGTCCCCCAGGAGTGGGCCCATGGAAACGAAAAGGCTCTGAGGCAGAGGATGGGGCAAAGGTGCTGCCTGCTTCGCGGAGACCACCCAGGTGAGAGAAGCGATGCCCCATGTGCCACGCACAGACCAGGCGTATGCGTACACAGCTCGGTGCAGGTGCGTTGGACAGAACCCGATGGAGCAGACACTGGGGCACATGCCGCCCAGACGTGGCCATCCTGAGTCCTGGGAGGAGAAGTTGGGCGGTTGGGTGGCATTTGGGGGAAGCCTCTGTGAGGACGCAAAATCATTTTAGAGGTGGGTAGGATTCCTCGGGGCAGGAAAGTGGCCGCCCAGCCTTGGCAGAGCCAGAGCCCGGGACAGGAAATGTCAGGAGAGATGGGACCCAGGGACAGACCCCTGGGCCGGACACACCGCACACCCTGCAGGCAGGAAGGTCACGGCTTGGAGCCGCAAGGCAGCTGCGGGCTGGGTAGGTCCAGCTGGATTTCTGTCCGGGAGTCTCAGATGAGATGGGAACGTGTTTCCGAGATGGGGATGCGGAGATGGGGGGCTGGGGGGGGGGGGATGCATGGGTGAAGCGAGTGAGTGAGGAGGGCAGCCAGGAACACCCTCCCCTGAGCTGCTAGGACCCGAGTCCTAAGGGCTTCTGTGCGCAAGGGAAGCCTGCATCCATGTCTGCGGTGAGCTGAGTGGACTTGGGAATGAGCTGGGAGCAGCCGAGGGTCCCAGGACATGTGAGCTCGTCCCCTGTACCCTGGGGTGCTGGGCTGGCTGTGCTAGTGGCAGCAGCCTGGCCAGGCTGGAGGACGCTGTGTCTGCAACATGGGCACCCAGCAGGGGGCTCGGCCTAGGGTCCACAGAGACGGGAGGGGTCAGGAAGGTCTGGAACGCTGCTAAAACACAGAGCTCTGACTTCGTAGCTCCATGGAATGTTCTGGAACCTGAGTGGACAGTGGCTCTCACCTCTCCGGGCAGGGCAGATGTCAGGGAATTCGGTGCCTCTAGGGCTGCTGTTGGTGAAGGGCTTCATTCCTCTGAGATTAACCTGATCTTCTCCGATAATCTAGGTCAACCTCCAGCTCAGTTGTCATTGGAAGAGTAAATTACGTCTAATCTTTATTTTTAAATCAGATAAACGCTAACTTCACCCTCCCAGAGCCAAGACATTCAAGGTTTTCTCTCTTCCTTGTGCACTTTCTTCTTTTTTCTTTTCTCCTTTTTATCTTTTCTCCTTTTTTCTTTTCTTTCTTTCCTGTCTTTTTCTTTTTCTTGACATCCGGGCTGTGCCCAGCAGCACAGTACTTGGGCACTGTGCTTGGGCAGTGCTGAGGTCCAGCTGGCCTTGGCCAGTGCCTGCTCCCCATTTCTGCCATGTTTCCCGATCTCCACAGCTCCTGGGCATTCTCTGTCCAGTGTTGGCGGGGCCACAAAGTCTCTCCCTCTAAGGACACTGGGTGACTGTCCTCTTTCTGTTGACCCGCAGGCTCGCTGGAGGAGGACAGGCTCTGCAGGCTATCCGCCGGCACCCCGGCCATGACCTCGTTCCAGAGGCACCGAGAGGGTCCCACGGCTCAGGTAAGGCAACGTTGCTCCGCCGGGGCCCCTCTGGGCGGGGGCGGGCTGACGGCCGTGCTGCAGGGCTCAGGCTGGACTGGTGCTCCCGGGGACTCTGCCCAGGCCCCTTGCTCCGGGCTGGATTCCATGGCACTAGAATGCTGGACCAGCTCGCGGCTCTGTGGTGTCATCGGGGCAAACTGTTAGGGTTCAAGCAACTGCCTCCAAATGCCCCTCCGGGCATCCAGGTGCATGTAAGATACTGCAGAGAGACAAGAGAGGACGGGCTAAGGCTGGCTGAAGAGGGGACAGGGTCAGGTGCTGGCCGAGGAGGGAAGAGGGTAAGTGCTGGCCATAGAAAGGACAGGGTAAGACACTTTCCGGAGAGGGGACAGGGTCAGGCACTGGCCGGGGAGGGGACAGGGTAAGACACTGGCCGGATAGGGGACAGGGTAAGGCACTGGCTGGGGAGGGGACAGGGTCAACACTGCCCTTCACCCAGCAATGCTGCTGTCTCCATCTCTGAGCACAGGGTCCCTGAGCCCCTCCAAGAGACCCCTATGCAGATTCAAGAGAAAGTCTGAGGGCCACTGGGTGTGGCCAGGAATGGATGCCTTAGCTCTAACGTGGCAGGCCAGAGAGACGGTACAGGGACACAGTGCCTGCCCGCATGTGGCAAGCCCGTTAGGTCCGCCAACACCACCATGGCCCCCGCACCGCGCCTCCTTGAGTGCAGAGGCAGGAGTCAGCCCTGCGCATAGCCGGGTGTGGCCCCCCAAAGTACAGCAATGTGAGCGTATGTATGTATTTACAAATGTGTCAGTGGAGCACAGAAGGCGAGAAAGAGAGAGAGACAGAGAGAAAGAGAGAGAGCAGCTGCAGGGTGGTCCAGAGGGGAGCATGTCACACAGGATCAGAGCAGAGCGCCGTCCCACCCCCCACTCTGTGACTGTGTGTGTCTGTCCTGGTGATTTTGCGTGTCCACGTACCGTGCTCCGTTTTCAAACGTTCCCCGGAATAAAGAGGTCGCCTCAGTAGAAAACAGACCAATTATTTTAGAAAGGCAAATTATTTATAATGGTTCATTGTTTTAATGTTTAAAACACATTTTATAATAATTCTCCAGAAAGATCAAGCTTTGCTTCTTGGGGGGAGGGGAGGGGGCACCAGAGACTCCCTGCCCCTAGGTCAGAGACCAGCACTCCACAGCGGGGTCGCACTGTGTGGCATTACAGGTCAGAGGGCCACAAAAGCGCCTAGACAGTTCAGGACAGCATCCAGGTGTCTGCATAGAACCAACCACAGCATAGAATGGGCCCCTTCAGAAGGTGCTGGTTGCTTGCGCGTCAGGCCTGACCGGTTCTGCTCGCAACACTGATGAGGCAGTGAGAGAGAGATCAATAGTCTGAGTCTGATCAGAACCCTCCCGACAGGCCATCTGCTGGGTGCAACCCGGGGGCAGAGGCCAGCTACTTGTCCTCGGGGACGGTTCCGGCCCCTTCCCTTGCAGCGCGGGTCTCACCCTGAGCACGTCAGGTGGTTCCTCGGAGTCCCCCGCAGGGTCACCTTCTCAGGGGCTGCTGAAGGATGGAAGGCTATTCCCGGCTGAGAGACCTGATGTCTCTCCCAGGAGGGTGGCTCTGGGCATTCCCCAAAGGAAGGGGCTCCTTCAAAGGGCACTCACTGGTTGTCCCGGTCATGTTCCCTCGGGCCTGGCAGAGGTCCAGCCCAGAGGCACAGGTGGTGGGTGAGGGTATTGGGAATGGGGCTCATGTCCTGCCTGCAGGTCCAAACACTGTCTGCCCCTGAGGGCCACAGGGTATTTCTTCAAGCAGAGCAGGCCCATTTCCTCATGGGAGCCTGTGGGCAGACTCGGGACAGGCCTTCTGTCGCTGTGGAGAGCGTGTGTTCCACAGCCCTGTGCTCCGGCACACGTGATAAGCCTGGGTTGTTCACGTCACTGGGATGGACACACGGTGTCTCGTTGACTCATTTTCAGCTTTTTGGTTCTGGGACCACACCCAGTGGCGCACGGCTGGGGGGAGGGTGACTCCCAATGGAGGTCACGGGACCGTGTGGGACCTGGACATCATTAGAGATATTGATGAAAGCCCTCTAAGAAGGCCAACAACATGAAGGGGGCTATAGAGTCGGGAAAGGCCGTGTGTCTGGTCACGCATCAGGGATGCTGTGAGAGGTCAGGGCCATGGTTGGGAGGGTGTCGGGAACACGCCTGGCATGCTCCAGCCCATGCCAGCGCAGCTCATCTCTGCTGCAGGGAGAAGGAGGAAAGTCTGGCACGGCAAAACTGTACAGCCACCCAGGAGACGCACAGTGTGATGTGCAGTGTGAGATGTGCAGTGCAAGGTGTGAGGTGTGAGGGATGAGGGATGAGGTATGAGGTGTGAGGGATGAGGTGTGAGGGATGAGGTGTGAGGTGCGAGATATGAGGTGTGTGGTGTGAGGTGTGAGGGATGAGGGATGAGGTATGAGGTGTGAGGGATGAGGTGTGAGGTGTGAGATATGAGGTGTGTGGTGTGAGGTGTGAGGGATGAGGGATGAGGTATGAAGTGTGAGGGGTAAGGGATGAGGTGTGAGGTGTGCAATGTTGGATATATAGTGTGGGGTATGAGTGATCAGTTGTGGGGTGTGAAGCATGAGATATGTGGTATGAGGTGTGAGGTGTGAGGTGTGTGGTGTGAGGTGCTATGTGTGAGGTGTGAGGTCTTGAGGTGCTATGGGTGAGGTGTGAGGTGCTGTGTGTGTGAGGTGTGAGGTGCTGTGTGTGTGAGGTGTGAGGTGTTGTGCTGTGTATGAGGTGCTGTGCTACGTGTGAGGTGCTATGTGTGAGATGCTATGTGTGAGGTGCTGTGTGTGAGGTGTGAGTTGTGAGGTGTGTGGTGGGAAGTGTGTGCTGTGGGCTGTGAAGTGTTTGTCACGGGCCTCATTGCTCTGACAATGGCTCTGACAGCCAAGCTCGGGTCTCCCTGCGGGCCAGGGGCAAGAGGGAACAGGAAGCATAGAGCAAGGTGTCCCGTGGAGACAGGGCCCCGGAGCCATCTCTGCGGTCCCCACCTCTGCCCGTCTGCAGACTTCCCCTCACAAATGTCCCCCTGCCTCCCGGCAAGCTCTCACCATTCCTGAGAGCGTTTTCTTGCTTGTGGAATGACCCTTTCAACCAACGTATGAATCCCAACATGCTCTTGTTTTCCTTCCATCATTTCCTATTCAAATGTTCTTAATATAAAATTTTAAAACATTTGTTCTGAAAACTCTTACACTGGGGTAAGGCCTTCCTAAGGAGTAGGGTTTTTTTTTCCTCAAGATAGTGTAGAAATGGCGATTTGTAGGGTCTGGAGCGATAGCACGGTGAGTAGGGCCTTTACCTTGCACGCGGCTGACCCAGGTTCGATTCCCAGCATCCCATATGGTCCCCTGAGCACCACCAGGAGTAATTCCTGAGTGAAGAGCCAGGAGTAACCCCTGTGCATTGCCGGGTGTGACCCAAAAAGCAAAAAAAAATAAATAAATAAGCTGTTTATAGTCTGCTCACCATGGTTTTAATTCTTTTGTGAGGTGAAAATGTATCTTGATATAAAATTAACCCAGTCCCGTTTCACTGACATGGAGAAACGTGTCGGGGGCCCATGGCCTGAGAAGGGGCCGTCTTCTTGGGGAGGAAGCTGGGGCCAAGCTGTGCCCCACACTGACTCCTCGGGGCTTCAGCACGCTCAGTGCCTGGGCGTGTGGAGTTGGCTGACAGGAAGGGCTTCATGGCGCTTCTGCAGCCCTGAGTGTCGTGGGCTCAGGAGCCTCTGAGCGTGGCTTGAGGGTGAGAGCCCTGGACGTAGCTCAGCAACCACTTCGTGCGCTGCAATGTCCTCAGTTACCTGTTTCCATTGTGGGTCCTAATTTTCACATTGTCAGTGATGGTTCCAACACAACCCCCCCCAACCCACGTGCTCCCTCCCTCCACAGAGTCCCACGGAGCCTCCCAGCATCCCCACGGGGGCTCAGGGTCTGTGGCTGTGTGTCACCTGTGTCCCTCTCCTGAGTCGCCTCCCTCATGAAGTGTCAGGAGAGAATCTCGCCCTCTGGCTTCATCTTCACCGGGGCAAACAGCCAGGCTCCTCCTCTCCTCTGGGCCCCAGACCAGGGCCTCCCGGTGCCCTCAGCTGTTCCTGGCAGGTAGCATGTTCCCGGTTGGTGCCCCTGGCCTGATTCTATCCCTTGGAACTAATGCAGCATCACCTGTGATTAAGGCACCGGGAGCACGTGGCGTGTGTGCTCAGGGGTGCACACAGGAGTGTCTGTCTCGGTACAGTGCAGCACTGCTCCAAGAGACACAGTACAGTGGGGAGGAAAGTCCGCAGCTGTCTGTAGCCCAAAGGAGGAGGCAGCCCTGGCCGAGCCATGGGTTATAAATAGAGCAGCTTGGAATGGCTCCTGGGGCAGGACTCTGCAGGGGAGGGTCCGGCACAGGGGAGGGTCTCTGCAGAGGGCCCTCGGCCTACCGGAGCAGCCAACTGGAGGCTCCCCTTCCCACGTGCTCACAGCCCTCTCACATTTACATTCTCTCTCCACGCTGCACTGGAGTAATGCGTGGTCTGAAGGCTTTGATTTTCCTTGTGGGCATTTATCAGATCTCTCGCCCAACTTCTTCAAATATGCTTCTGGGTTTTCTAAAGAGCAGAGGAAGCTGTTCTTTATATTTGCCGTATTCAGATATTCGTTGTGAGAAATCACGAGTGAGGGCTGGAGTGATAGCACAGTAGGTAGAGCATTTGCCTTGCACGCGGCTGACCCGGGTTTGATTCCCAGCATCCCATATGGTCCCCTGAGCACTGCCAGAGGTAATTCCTGAGTGAAGAGAGTAATCCCTGTGCATCGCCGGGTGTGACCACAAAAAGCAAAAAAAAAAAAAGAAAGAAAGAAAGAAGAAATCACGATTGGTCCCTGAAGAAATCGTGGCTGCCTGGCCCCCGGGATCTTAATAAATATCCCACCCAGCCCCAGACGCG